CAGGACCAGTCCCTGGGGGACTCCACTGCCCACATCCCTCCAGGTCAACCCATCCACCACCACTCTCTGGGTGCAACCATCTAGCCAGTTTGCCACCCATCTCACTGTGTAGGCATCATTGCTGCAGTCACCAAGTTTTTTTACAAGAATGTGGTGGGAAACTGTGTCAAAGGCCTTCCTAAAGTCCAGGAAGATGACATCCCCTGACACCCTTGTCCAGGGACTATGTGACCTGATCACAAAAAGAAACTAGGTTAGTCAGGCAGGACCTGCCCTCAATGAACCCATGTTGGTTGCCCCTGAGCATTACCTTCTCTGCTGGGCCCTTTCAGATGTGCTCCTTGATAATTTTCTCAAAGGCCTTCCCAAAGACTGAGGTAAGGCTGACTGACCTATAATTGCCGGGGTCCTCCTTTCTCCCCTTCTTGTAAATGGGGACCACTTTGGCCCTTTTCAAATCCTCTGGTACTGGCCAGAGCCCCATGAGTGCTCATAAAGCCATGCCAGGGGCCCTGCTATGACCCCTGCCAATTCCCTCAGCACCCTTGGGTGAAGAGTATCTGGACCTACTTATTTAAACAGGCTGTTCTGGGGCAGGGGGTGGGTGCTGACCAGCTTTGGAGTGTGCACACTGGGGGCTTTTTTGCACACCCCACCATACCCACAGACCCTCTCCCACAAACCCCACAACCATACCCTTCCATCTTATTATTTAAGTTTTGATTTGGATGAAAGATCAACATTTCAGACTCTCTTTGTCTTAGATGAGGAGTACCTAACAGATCAAGTTACATTGGAAATAGCATCTGTAAACATCAGGAGTCTTACATCAGATTCTGGCCTGATACAACAGGTAAGGATAATACAGTTCATATTCAAATTACAGGCAGTCCTCGGACTTAGGACACAATTGGTTCCTGAAAACTGCATCTTAAGTTGAAACGTTGTAACTTGGAACCAATTTTCTCATAAGAAACAATGTTATAGATGGGGGATTGGTTCCTGAGCCAAGGCCCAATACCCTATTTTCACCAAAAATAGCCCAGAATTTTGTACTTAATCAATTATAGATGAGTAATATAGTTACATTAATGTATTTATAATATAAATAGCAGTCATATTGATTTTGAAGGACTTCTTTGAGGTGACTTTGCTGGACTTTTTGAAAGGCTCTTGGTTGGACTTCTTGAAGGGTTCTTGGCTGGATTCTTCTCAGGAGTCTTGGCTGCAGGTTTTTCTGGAGTCTTGTCTGCTTTCTTAAAGAAAGTGTCCAAGGAAGTTTGGACAGATGTTCTCCAGGGAGATGAGCGATGCAGCGAACTTGTTGGCTGGTGTGGCGTTGCATCGGATCAAGCGTTGTAAAGTCAAAACTGACATTATAAAGTTGAAACAGGGTGTCAATTTATAAACAATGCAAGTGTGAAACGTAACTCAAAACGTTGTAAGTCGAGGACTGTTTGTATGTGTTTGACAAATCCTTAATTCATATTAAACTAGATTGTTACGAATTCAGTAAGGATATTAAAGTAGCATAGGAGCATAGGAAAACATGTTTATCACAGCAATTTTTAGATAGCATGGAGTTTCATAGTTTCATAGTTTCTAGGGTCGGAAGGGACCTGAGCAGATCATCTAGTCCGACCCCCTGCCATGGCAGGAAGAGTACTGGGGTCAAACGACCCCAGTAAGGTGGTCATCCAACCTCC